GTATGTATGGCCGTTGGAAATGCGGCCATATTCGTAGGTTTGTTAACGGTTCTCGCCAGCGCAGCTCAGATTTGCCTCCGTGTCGTTTTATTTTGGCTTCAGCAATTCATGGAGGGTTTAGGATCGCTGATCCAGTTTTAAGGCTGTGCGCCAAACCATCTGGTTTCACGCGAGACCTTTCCAGGCCCCTTGGTCGACTTGGAAATGCACGTGAGAGCTCTTCAGGGAAGGTACGTAACCGCTTTCGTTCGCTCTTTCTGTAAGCATCCGCAGCAGCGTTGGCATACGCTTGTTATGACCTGACAGCTCCATTGCAGTTGCGCTTACCTCTTGCATGCCGAGTATGCCCGCCCTTCTACCTTTACAATTTTTTGGAGGCCGCTAGTGAGCAGACTGAGGAACACTAACCGAAATTGTCGTTCCGTGTAAGTTTCGGCCACACGTTTAACGTTGAAAATCCACGTTCGGCTGATCAACGGCCTGATCTTCATCATTTCAAGGCATACTTTCCTCCGTTTTTACCGAGTAAGGGTAGGCAGTTTTCCACTTACTTGTTCTGCGTGGTCATACCAGGCGGCAGCTTTATCCCAAAATGGGTAACGACCTGCGGTTACAGGAAGACGATGTGAATTAGCCACGGTCATCTACGGGCCTACACTGCACTCGCGACTGGTCCATAGGGGAGAGGCCACAAGCAACCAGTGGGCAAGCGAACGCAGGTGCATTGAGCACGGTTATAGCACGAGGCAGATTAACTCAAGGCCTACGGAAGAGTAAGCTCTGCAGTCTTAAAATGGAAAGGGCTTTTTCCGAAACGTCAGAACCAGTACAATTTGGTGCGCAAACTCCCCCTCTTCTTCTTCGAAGGATACTGAACGCAATAATATATCTGGCGTGACACCAGAGTTGTTAGGCGTGCAACCAAACTTTTCATTGGACGGGGCTCACCAGTCTATGAAAGTCGGCTATTTAATCTCAATCGCTTTATTTGAGCTACAGACAGTTTGGGGGACCTGATACTAACATTCCGCACCTTAAGTGCTAAAAATTGCTGTCTTGTATCGGGAGATTTCTTTAAGGAAGCAACAACAAGGAACTTGAGAGCTCATCCTTTCCAGTTACGTGTGTTGGAGAAAAAGAACTTCCCAGTCATGACTGGGAAGTTCTTTTTCTCTAACAGAGTTTTCGAGGCTCTGTCTCTGGACGTCGTCATGTCGGAATCCGTAGAGGTTTTTAAGCAAAAGCTGCACGGACATAGTCGTGCGCGCTACAATTCCACCTGACCGCTGTCATCCGGATGTCCGAAATTGTTAATCAGAATACAATTTTTTATATTGGAGTAAAATTGGTTTTATAGCATAACTCATTATACTAGGCCTAGAAAGTAAGCTATTATACTACTTGCTACGTTCTAGCAACATTTGTTTTAGCAATATTTGTTTTATTACCCGGAATAATGCGCCCTACACCACTAACCGACCGACGTCCTTCTGGCGCCGTAAAAATTATAAACATTCTATTATACACAACTCATCGCTAAATTTCTCTCATTATCATTGTCAGACGAAGTCCTTCGTGGTCTTCCCTACTTGACTAGATGCTAACCGCGACGATCCCGTCAGCGATCGCATCTGCCGAATTTTGCGATGATAGTCCACGCGCCCTCCAAATGTTCTCGCATGATTCGACCCAAAACGGACTTTCGACGATTATGGCGAATACTTCTGTTTTCGCAACCTTGTCAACTGACTCCGCAATCAGCAAGGGATTGTCTGGCCGCATCTTTTACACATCGGTCTTGATCTCCGGAAACTCTGCGTTCCCTTCTCCATTTCGACCTGGTGTACTATCCCCCCGAGAGCGGCAGTTTTTTCTCCTAAATACCCAAGGAGTTTTTTTTCACTGTCGGCTCTTTTTCTTTTGCTCGTGTCATTTTTTATCGCCAATAAGCTGAGGTACTATTTTTTGATATCCCAACACCCATGTATACAAATAGGGAATTCAGATGTATACACATATTGATACCTCGAATCCGAACACGTGGCCCACAACCCAAACGTTAACACCTCCCTCCCCTCACAAGCACAACCTATCGCCGCAGGAGTCACGTCGCCGTAATCCTCCCGCCCAATACCACCCCGTTCGTTGTAACCGCTGCCCCAAAAACCTCTAGTGCGACGTTCCCAGCCCTCATTTTTCATTTAGTCTGACGAAGAACAAGTGATACCTGTTCGAAAATTCATGAGTACAATCCGATTTTCCAAAGATCTTTCTTTTCATACTACACTCTCTCTATGTATCTGCTTTTGCAAGTATGTAGATTAGCGAATGGATTAACAGGCGTGCAAGCACTCACCGTATACCCCAACTATGTTAGCCAATCAGTCAAGGAAAGTCACCAGGACTCTGATCGGCATGCAGAACACAGCTTAGTGAAACCACGAGAGTTCGGTATCGAGGGGCGATGTGTTGGGCGGGGATCATCCGCATA